TATATTTTAGGACTCTCAACATCAACATTAGTGTCAAATTCTTAAAATGATTTTAATTCACGTATTTTTTTTTATAAAAATGATTTCTTCTTCTTGGAAATCACACCCATAGTTGGTCCACTTATATGTATAGATTGTTTGTGTAGTTAGTCCATCCAAAATCAATAAACTCGTTTTGAAACTTTGAAATGCTCATTAAATTTTAACTTTGAAACATGTTTCACATTGCTTAAAAAAATTTCTCTGCAATCCACATGTATTCTAAAACCTAAAAATTTAAAATAAACATAAATGAGAATTGAAATTGAAACCATTTACCTTGATAAATATAAAGTATTGATTACCTTCGAGTCACATTCACTCTTAGATTTATATTGAGAACGTTTGAATAAACTCTTCTAGAAGTATTTTTAGAAGAGAAAAACAGGAAGAAAAATTAAAATAAACTTCATAAGTTAAAACTAGCTTATACATTAGCTAAAAAAAAGATTTTGGAAACTAATATTAGAAAACTTTAACAAAATAACTTATACTTAAACTAATTTTAATTCAATAAAACCAACATGCAATGCCAAAAATATAGTTTACACATCATTAGCAGCTAATTTCTCACCAACATAGTTACATGCAACCAAGAATTGATCATCATTCACCCAAAATCTTCCCAACATATTCAAAAATCTCAAGATCGCATAACACAAGAATTCAATCTCTCTTAATCATCAACACAACCACAGTTTGGGTAAATTCAAACAACATTCAACTTCATCAATCAACAAATAATTAAGTTCTAGCTTCTCTTCTAACTCACAAGAATCGAAGAAGAAGAAAATAAGTTCCGAAAAACTTCGCATGGAACCACCATTGTTGATTTTTAACCTTCCGAACCTTGAATCTCAGCACCGCTCCTACAACTGAACCTCGATGAAGATCACATCACTCTAAAGAAGACTTAGGGGAGAAGAAATTCTTTCAAGCTCCAAAGATCATCTCTCTAGCTTTCTTAAAAACCGAACTTATAAGTAAATTTTTTAAGAAAGACCTTATATATCTTCTCCAACAAATCAAACTTGACTTATAAATTTCTCACTTATTAGTAAAGAATGTTTTATCGTTAAATTGAAATTTTCTTGTAGTATGACAAAATCTCAAAGACTAAAAACATATAATCCATGCTCATAAATATATAGTAAAATGACATGTTAATTATGATGAAAACACAACCATCAAATAGTTACTTCAATCTTTTGTAAAATAACAAATGTTTCTAATTGTAAGATGGTGTATCAGATGAACTTAATTAGAATACATTGATATATCTGTGTAAGAAGTTTTTACACCATTGTTTAATTATAAATATTATATAGTTAAAAATATTAACTTTGATACTAATTATTTTAATTTATTTACTGTATAACACTTACATTATATTAAAATTAAACACCATGAAATAGTTTTAAAAAAAATTGCAGGATATATAAATAGTTGGCAGAAAGTTGTGTGAATAATTAAAAAGGGTGGTTGTTGTGTGTGGTGGTGAATGTTAATTTGTTTGCTAGTATGTATTTGTCTTTTGTTTCGACCATCAATTTTCTCTCTCTCTTTCTCTCTTAATGGTTAGGTCAATCTATATCTACCACCACGGGCATCTTGCCAAAATGGAAACTTTGATTTATTAGACACAAAACAAACAAGGAAACTTTATATATAGTAAGAAGGAAAATAAAAGAAAATGAATATCTTACGATTGCTTTAGCATTTAATATTGATTGAAGTGAAACTAAATTCAAATATACAAGTAAGATTTCATCTTTAAGTTTGTGGGTAAAAAAAAAAATATAGATACAATAAGAGAATTTAATATTATAAACCCTCTAAAAAATTACAATTTAATAAATTTAGTACAAAATTTACTAAATAACATAGAATAAATTTTACTCCACCATCTCATGAGATACGAATATTAGTTTTTTTTTCCCTCTTATATTAAAAATTAGATTACCTTCTTGACAAATTTCAATATTAAGAAAGAGATGAATATTAATTATGAAAAAAATATAAAAATAATTTTTTAAAAAATATAAAAGAAAAAGTTTAAATATGTTTTTAGTCTCTCAAATTTAAGAGAAATTTATTTTTGTTCCCTCAAATTTAAAATGGTTATTTTTAGTTCTTGTAATTTTTAAAAATCTTATTTCAACCTCTTCGATCACCGATAATATATATAAAAATAATAAATTAAGACGATTATACAATATCAATTAAATTTAATGTGATATTTTTACTAACAGGGACACCAGTAAGTAGGTTTGATACAATAATATTTGATAAGTTTCTTAATAAAATTTGAATATAAGGATTAAAATAAGATTATTTAAAATTATAAGACTAAAAGCAAAAAATTTAAATTTAACGAACTAAAAATAAATTTATCCTAAATTTGAGAGACTAAAAATATATTTAAACTATACAAAAAAAAAATAATAAACTTGTTATTATTAATTATATTAACTATTTTTTTAAACTTGATAAATTAAGTGTTAAATTGTTGTATGTAATTAAAAAAAAAAAAACTCTTAATAGTACAGTGATGTTAGCATGTTTGTATTTGAATATTGTGACAACAGAAATTGCCTCAGTATTTGAAAAATAAAAAATGAGACAACAGAGTGGCAGGCGACATGGAACAATGACAGGCAACAACCACTTTATCTCTTTCTGTTACCTTTTTTGCCACATTATTCACCCATCATCATTCCCTCTTCCTTACAATCAATAATCTACTCATTCTACCCAAAAGTTTTTTTTTTCCTTTAATAAAAAAACACTTTTATTTATTTTTAGTAGAAACATTTATAATAATATTAATGAAAATTAAGCTTAAATCTTTATGTATCTATTTTTTTAAAAAAAAAAATAGCCAAAAAGAAATTATGTTATAAAATCATTACTCAAAATAAGGAAAGAGAAGGCTTAGCAAAGTTGAGCTAAAAATTGGAGTCTTGATGATTCCATGTTACCTTTTTGATAAACTTATGCAACCGTACCTTTCATCCATAACCAATGGACACATGCCATATTTACACTATTAACTTGGTGCACCCACCCAAATTTCACTCCTTTTCTTAAGTTTAAGTTGCACCCTTCAAAAGAATTAAACCCGGACCTAACATTTTTCATTCAACATAGCATCACTTTTTCGTGAGTTGGATTTTTAAGTTGTTAGAAAAGAGTAATCTTGAATTCACTTTTACCCCAATTAAGATTAATAATTTTTTAAAAGTTGTAGATAGGTAGAGAAATTTTGGTATTTAGTTACTTATGAATCAAATCTCATAATCAACTAGTTGAAAACAAAGTATTTAAATGAAATTAACTTCACATTAAGAAATGCAGCACTCTGTTTAAGGAATAACATATTAAGAAGGTTTAATTTAATTAGTTGAACAAAATGTGCGAATATTATAAATTCTCTTGATAGTGTTGGATTTATATGAATATTTGAAAGAAGAAAAAAGGAACAACATAAAATAAATGAAGGGCAGCCCGTGTTTTACCGACCAAAGAGGCAACCTGACCCGTGAGAATAAAGGAGGGATCCACACCATATAAAAGAGAAAACTATTAAAAAGTTGGAATAAAATTCAATAAATAATCACATATCATTTTCTTTTTCTAAATGATTCTTAAAGTAATAAAACTATATAAATAATATTTAAAGCATTGAAACTTATCAATTTAGTTCACACGTAGATATATCCATCAATAATTTAAAAATAATATGAAATTATATATTTTGAAAATTTTTATTTTTATTATATTTATAATATATTTTAGTTGAATTTCAATTACATATAATAATTTTTATATAGATAAATTTTATGAGAAAAGTTTCAAGTTTTAAACCAGTCATAAATTATTTAAAATAACTAAATTGATCTAACTTTAAGAGATAAAGATAAAAATAAATATTTTAAATGATAAAAAGTTAAATGAATATAAAATAATAATTAAAGGATAAAAATGTAATTTAACTTTTTTAATTATTTATTAATACAAAGTATCTATCAACTTTATGCATGATTAATCTTCATCGATAAACATATTTTTAATGCATTATAAACTATATAACATGATTTTTAGCATTTTAAGGATAATTTATATAATTTTATTACTTTAAGAACTATTTAAAAAAGAGATTAATACATCAAAAATCAAATTTTTCTTTAAGATTGAAGACTATTTTTAAAAAATATATATATATTTTTCTACTTTTGACGACTAAAAATATGTATTTTTAAATATAAAAAAATCATCATGTCATTGACAAAAATATCTCCTAACTTCGTTGAAAATTAATCTCTTTTAAAATTTTGACTACATTAAGATTATCTTTTCCAACATCAATTTAATATAATATTTTATTAAGATGAAAAAAATAAGAATATCATTTTATGAAAAATATGCATAAAATATATGTTTTTAATAAAATTGGATATTCCATAATTTTATTTATAATGAATATATAATATAATACTCATTGCCAATGCTAAACATCATTAAAAAATGGTTTCTTTTGCACCTCATGAAAATATTTATTGTTTTTTAATTTTCAAATATATAAAAATAAAAATAAAAACTATTAATCAACACTTAACTTCAGATAATAAAAACTACCATTAAAGAAAGTATTAATCTGTAGACTTTATTATTTGTTAAGTTATTAAAATTTACAAAATGATGAATGGAGGCTATTCAATTAAATTTTTTTTTCTATATTTCAATAAATTTTAAGTTTTAATAAAAATATATATTAAAAAATGTTTTAGAAATAATTCATTTCTGTCTCGAGCATAAATTCAGTGTATTAATTTCACTTGATTTAATAATATTTTAAAAGATTTTGAATAAAATTAAATAATATTAATTAATGTCTTTTGTTAACAAGGAAAGGGAAAGAAAGTATAAGATTGATATGAGGGTGAAAGAGGTGTAATAATAAGGTTAGAGTTAGAGTTAGAGTTAGAGAGTGTTAGCGATTACCGTTACCCACTGCACCGCTTTATTGACTTCCAAATCTCACTCTTTGGGTTTTTTTCTCTCTCTCTTCCTTCTTCTGCCTTCCAAAGTTCCCTTTTTTCTCCAATGGGTTGTGCTGGATCTTCACAATCCAAGCCTGATGGTAAGCCTTTTCGTTAAATCTTCCCCAATTTCATCTAAAAATCTCTCCTTTTTGCTTCTTCTTTCTTGGGGGTCCTCCTATTTCTCACTGCCTCAACAAAATTGTATTTTTTTAAGGGGAAGAAAAATCAAGAAATCAGCTGCATAGGGCAAAAAAATCTCTGTTTTTTTTTTTTTTTCTTTTCTTTTCGGTTTTTGGATGTTTTACCGCATTTTGTATTTAGTAGTGAAAATCCTAGCAATTTTTGTTGTGTGTGTTTGTTTTTCCCAGCAATATTTGTCATGGGTTGTTCCTTTAAGCTTGTAGACTCCACATGGTGCCGAGGTTTGTTTTTTAAGTTCAAGTGATTTGCTTAGTCTGTCTCTCTTATTAATTTGGTCTCTAATGAGGATACTCTTGGTGGGTTTTTGATGATTGAATTGAGGTTGGAAATAATTGGTTCTGGGATGGACCCTGCTTATATTGGGCTTAGTGTAGATCTTTGTGATTTTGGTTGAATTGCAGTTATTTGGTGTGAAGTGTGAACATTTGAAAGTGCCTCAGTGAAGCAAGCTTATAAGCTTATTGCTTTATGAATTTATCTTCCAATAAAACGTTTGATGCTATTGATAATGCCACCTGAGAAACCTGACTGTTAGTGAAGCCCAATCTTTCATTTTTCTCTTTCACCTGACCTGAATGTGTAGCTGTGTGATCTAAAGCACGTGAAGTGTGAAAAAAGGCCAAAAAAACACCGGTAGATAGATAGAATAAAAGAACTACTTATATAGTTATATATCATTACTTGATAGCATGCTTATCTAGTAGTTATCACTATGATGTGCTTGTGGTCCTATTTGTTTCTGTTTGTGGAGAACTGGAGGTAGTTCCAATAAGCATGATACTGAAAATTTTCCTTGCAATTTGTTTCGCCTGGGCATGAGATAAGAAGTAGCAAAATTATGTGAATATGCCATTTTCTTTCTAAGTTACATTGATTACCAATAGCAAGTCTTTTCCCATATCTGAGTGTACACATTCGTAGTCAAGCATCACAGCATGCAGGAGTCTCTGTTAGTTTTTTCAAATATGTTTTGTATTGGTATTTGTTGATATAATATCATGAAGGGAAAAATTATTTGCAAATTGATGATTTAATTTTTAACCACAAAAAGGATATGTAGAATAAGGTGGTGCAGTATGTCACTCCCTTATATTTGTTTTCTTTCTCATAGTATAGATTTTTTATTATTTTTATTATTATTATTATGATGATGCTGATCTGAATTCTTGTTATTCATTATTTCAAATGCATGTTGGTTAGATTTTTCATTCCTTACATCCTCCAAAGTGGGAAACTATCTTTTTAGTTGCATGTTCCTGAATCCTGATGGCAATGCTCGGGTTTTAAAGTTTAATTTCATTTGTCATTTGCACCAATATAACAGGGGCAGTAAAAAAGATCCGAAAGCCTAAGCCTTGGAAGCATCCTCAGCCCATAACAAAGACTCAGCTAACGCAATTACGTGATGAGTTTTGGGACACAGCTCCTCACTATGGTGGCCGGAAAGGTATTATCACGATTCAAAAAAATGACTATATTTGGGATTTTTCAAGGCCTATTGGCTATTGCAGATTAAATTGGCTTTAGAAGATAGGGAGTTTAAATGGAAATGATTGCTTTATATTAATTGGTTCACTTCCCCTAGTTTGCTGCATTGCTCCAATTTCCTTATTTTACATTAATTTTCTGACCCATTAAATTTAGTTATTTATAGCTTGCTGTTTTGCTTTGATCCCTTCTAGCATGTTCTTCTTCTAAGATGTCTCTATATTTACAGCCACTCAGCCAGGATGTCTCTATTCCTTTATGGCTGGGGGTTTTTTTTTTTTTTTTTTTTTTTTTTTTT